AATGGAGCAATGTAGAGGGTGCCTTGAAATTACATGTCTTCTAGATTAACCGAGGGTAAAGATATATTTTTTTTAAGATTTTATTTATTTATTTGAGAGACAAAGAGGGAGAGAGTGAGCAGGAGGGAGAGGGAGAGGGAGAGGCAGACTCTGGGCTGAGTCCATCCCACGACCCCAGGCTTCATCCTGTCTCCGAGATCATGACCTGAGTGGAAACCAAGAGTGAGACATTCAAGTAACTGAACCACCCAGCGACCCCTGAGGGTAAAGATATTTCTCACATGCTATTTTTCAAATATAACAGTTATTTTTCAAGACACAAATTTCATTTTATTTTTAAATGCAATTACCTTAGAACAAAATTTCGTTTCTTTGTCCTGAAACATTTTGTACTATTTTTGTAATTAGTCACTAGATTTAGAGAAAAATCAATCTGCTCTGACCAAAACTGGAAAAAGGAAGTGAGAAAGCTGTCCTCTTTCAGCAATACCTTCCCCACTTCCTGCCATGGAGGCCTCTAGGGGTGAGGTCCTAGAACCTTCTAGGAATTACACTAAAATACAGATTGCCAGATGTACTCCTTGAGATTTTGATTCAAGTGTTTCAGAATCTGCATTTAAATATATTGTGTATATATAAATTGACAGTGGCCCTTGATCGCCATTTTGAGAAACTTCTCTAAGGCTTCTATGAATACAGTTAGAAACCACTAACCTAGAATAAGCATACATATTCCCCTAGACATCATTCCGTATCAACAATGAAGTGTGGAGAACTTAATTTTGCCTGCGGGGATGATTTGATACTCCAGATAAATCTTAATATTAAACCTCATTTAACCAACAAATGGGCATTTAGTAAAAAAAAAAAAAAAATGATTTAAGGGCCAAGAACTCAAAACCTTGCTCTCCTTGGGTTCTTGCAGTAAAAATAAGTAAGTTGGATCAAACACAGTCTCCTTCTAGGGGATAAAAACCATTATAAATTTATGGTACTTAGCTATAAACCAATTTACATGCTATGGTAAAATTGCCTGAGCTAAAAGACTAGGCTAATTAAACTGATGCTGGAGGTCAGAGTAGAGAAGTCTGAGATCATATAAAACTACAAATGGTGAGTTCAGTCAGTTGAGCATCTAACTCTTGGTTTCCATCAGGTCATGACACAACAATTCCAAATCTACAATATTCTAAACATATTTAAATTTGAATTAGCTTCAAAGCTCAGGTGCCAGGTGATCCAAATATCTTAATTCAATGTTAAGCAATTAAAAAAATTCTCAACTGAGTAGGACTAATGTTTTTGCCAAGTTCCCTAGTAGTACCCGGTATGCAAATGGATATAAACTCAATTTTCTTCTGTTTTTTTTTCTTTTCTTTTTTACTACATTATGTTTCTTTTTCCAAAACACTAAAAAAATAACTTTTCAACTAAATGTTCCCTGTCACTGTGTAAGTTAAAGGAAATGGAAATTTCACCCAACCCCAATCTCAAAAGAACATGCAAATTGCAACTGATGATATTTACACTGAAAGCATTTACTTTATTTCACTGGAGTACAGCTGAGAACAGTATTGATTTCTATGTGCCTTGATTTCAATCCTAGGTAAAAATCATGTTTAGGTGCCCTTAGTTGGGCCTTGCTGAGCAGGGTGTAGAAAGAATCCACTCACCAAGCCCTGTCCCAAGGCCATGCCTGCACATCCCCAGCCCAAGAAGAAGTGATACCTTTTTCTAAGTCATATCAAAGTGTTGAATAAAGCAGCTGTACTCTCCACAAACAAAGTGAAAACTAAAGATGTAACTTTTTTTTGGACCACAAAGTTCATTTCAGATACTTAGGTAAAAAGGCTTATAAGTAAGTCCATTAAAGTGTGAAGACCAAATGGTAGAATGTCACTTGGAACATCGCTCCTTTAGCTTTTACTATTACATTTTCATGATGAAACACACATATTAAGATGTTATCTAAGGGGCGTGTGGGAGGCACAGTTGGTTGTATCTGGCTCTTGGTTTTGGCTCAGGTCAGGATCTCAGGGTCATGGGATTAAGCCCTATATCAGGCTCTGTACTGGGCGTCAAGTCGGCTTGAGATTCTCTCTCTCCCTCTGTCCCCTGCCCCCCCATCCTCTCTCTCTAAAATAAATAAATCTTTTTTAAAAAAAAAGATGTTATCTAAGATTTGACTACACAATGAAAACTTCCCTACATATTCCCACACCACCATGACTTCTCTAGACTTTTTATTGCTTCATTAAGTGAGACTTTTTATTCACTTCATTATATGAAGTGAGACAATATTTTGAAATATACAAATGTGCTTTCTCTTTTGCGCTTGTTTATGAATGATTTTCACCAACTTGAGCCTGAACCCATCTTTGCCTTAAGGAAAATTGAGATCACAGAATATGAAGATGAAGAAAGAATTAGTGCAGAGCTTTTTGATTTTCAAAATTGGGTCTTGTAAACTATTTTGAACACAATGGGCTTAAAAACCTGGCTTTAAATTTCTGGAGCCACACATCTGAGAGAGAAAAGTATTTTCTAAGTTAGAAAAAGCTTCCCTTTAAATATAAAAAAATAAAATTTGGAAAATGGAGCTTGGAGATTTGCTATAAGCCACTGAATAGGATGGATATATGATGCATAAAAACTATTTCTTAGGGCAAAGTAAAAATGTCAAACCTTCCTTGGCTGCAGAAGGAGCCTAGAGAGGAGAGGGGAAGATGGCTAGGGGAGATGCAAGCTTAGGGACCACTCCCTTCTCCAGATTCATTGTCATGTAGAGCACATCTATTAAACATTATCTGACTCTTAAATATTCTTATTTAGGGATACCTGGGTGGCTCAGTCAGTTAAGTGTCTGCCTTCTGCTCGGGTCATGATCCCAGGGTTCTGGGATCGAGTCCCACATCGGGCTCCCTGTTCAGCGGGGTGTCTGCTTCTCCCTCTCCCTCTGCCTGCCACTCCCCCTGCTTGTGCATGCACTCTCTCTCTGTCAAATGAATAAATAAATCTTTAAAATAAATAAATAAATATTCTTATTTAAAATTTAATTTTTTTTACTTTGCAGCGTATAATTATAAAGCACAAATATACAGGTCCTAATCATCAACTAATTCATTCAACAAATAATTATGGAGACTTTTTATGTATCAATCATTTAGAAATAATGCAATAAATAGGGAAGCCACAGACCCTGTGATTACTCAGAGAATGTGCAGTCTATGGGGGGGGTGCAGAGAAGGCGAGGAGAGAGACAAGGAAGTTAAAAGCCAATTATATCACTGTGCTTATAATATGCTACCACATTTCTATTCAGACCTTTATCACATAGGAGGGAGATTCTAGTCTGCCTTTTTCTTGATAGAAATACAGATTATTAATGCAGTGCGGTTTGTTTGGATGTGCCAGAGAAACTTTCTGAAATTGCTCTTTGCTTTTCTAGGAGTCAGAAGCAGCCAAAGGAAAATTCGTATACTGAAATCTCCAAAATTAACTGCCAACTATTGAATGTGATCAAAACACTTGGTATTCATATCTGCTACTCTACATACTTTGGGCAACATGACTGCTAATATCGAAATCAAATGATGGTAATACTGGAACCATTTTAACAAAATAAAACAAAAGAGAGATCAGAAACCAAAGTAAAAAAGTCAGCCCAGAAGATATTGTGGCTCTCTTCAAGTACCAGGTCTTGTTGGCCAAGGCAACGACTGATGGGCAGTAGACATACCACTGTTAGTTTTCTTTGAAACAGAAGCCATAGAAGGGGGGCTCTTGAAGCTTCAACTGAGGGGAGGTGTGAAGGCATAAACGTTTTGAAAACATTCTCTGTAATATAAATGGGGATCCCTTTGCTGTCTTCAATAGTACTTCCATGAAACCATTAAGAGGAAAGAATGAAGGACGGGATCTGATAAGAAGGAAGCACTCAACATATCTGTGGCCTATAAAACAGGGAAAGGTATGAGTTATGAAGCCTTGGAAAAAAAAGACCAAAAGAAATGACAATGAAGATCAAAGACTAGAAGAGGAAGGAAAAAACGGGTGAGGAGAAATAGGAGCTGCAAAAGGAGGAAACAGAGAAAAAATTGGGGTGGGGGAAGGAAGGAATAGATAATTTTATTTTTTAATTTCTTTAAAAAAATTTTTTTTTAATTTTTTAAGTAGGCGCCAAGCCCAACATGGGGCTTGAACTCACGACCCTGAGATCAAGAGTCACATGCTCTACTGACTGAGCCAGCCAGGTGTCCCTGAATAGATAATCTTAAAACAACATAATAACAGTGTTTTTCAATGAGTGGTGATATTACAAATTATTTTTCTTACGCTTTTCTCTAGTTTCTACGACTTTTATAAGAGCATTCACAGCTTTTCCTTTTTTTTTTTTTTTAAAGATTTTATTTATTTATTTGAGAGAAAGAGACACAGTGAGAGAGGGAACACAAGCAGGGGGAGTGAGAGAGGGAGAAGCAGGCTTCCTGCCGAGCAGGGAGCCCAAGGCGGGGCTCAATCCCAGGTCCCTGGGACCATGACCTGAGCCGAAGACAGACGCTTAACCAACGGAGCCACCCAGGCGCCCCAGCTTTTCCTTTTTTTTTTTAAAGATTTTATTTATTTATTTTGGGAGAAAGCACAAATGGGGTTAAGGAGCAGAGGGAGGGGCAGACCCAAGTGGGGTGAGAGGCAGAGAGAGAAAGGGAGAAGCAGACTCCCCGCTGAGCAGGGAGCCCAATGTGGGGCTCGATTCTGGGACTCCAGGATCATGACCTGAGCTGAAGGCAGACACTTAACCGACTGAGCGCCCCCATTCACAGCTTTTTTAACTGAATAGCTGTATTTTTTTTCTCAGTTCTATATGAAAGAGTACACTTAGCCCATTTAGTCTGTAAATTCATCATTCATTGGCTTAGGGTAAGATGGCGTGGCAGTAATTTGAGAACTGCTTAACACATAGTTCCTAAGAGACATGTTCAAAGTATGTGGTCACTTACGTTGTATGATCCACTGATGGCCTGTGATTTTCTTCCCCATGATGAATACTGATTCCATTACCAAGTGCCCATCTGAAAGTGTTTGAATCTTGAATTAGGTTTTCTGGGATTGGCTGGTACCATTGACACAGGCTTCCTTCTTCAAAGCTGCAAACTTTCGTAGCTTGAATAGAGTAGAACAAAGACAAGATGAGCTAATCACAATAAATGTGTCAATAGGGGCACCTGGGTGGCTCAGTCATTAAGCGTCTGCCTTCAGCTCAGGTCATGATTCCAGGGTCCTGGGATCGAGCCCTGCATTGGGCTCCCTGCTCAGCGGGAAGCCTGCTTGCCCCCCTCCGACTTCCCCTGCTTGTGTTCCTTCTCTCACTGTGTCTCTGTCAAATAAATAAATAAATCTTTAAAAAAAAAGTGTCAATAAATGGCAATTTCTCCTATATCAAGCACTTTCTTACTGTTGGGTTTCTTTTTTTCAATTATCTTTTAAGCATAATGAAAATAATTAGACAAATGATTTGTATTATCACTAGAAGAGTTGTAAAGAAATCTATGTGTACTATACTGAAATATCTACAATAGCTATAAATGGAAATAAATGCATATACTAAAGAATTTGTTCTGAAAAGGAGGTGAGATTTTAATTAGGTCCTCAAATAGCAATCTAGGCATTGCCAGTCTCTTCTCACATAACACTGACATTGCTTACCAACTTCTGGTGAGTCTGTTCTTTTGACAAAGCTAAACTTCAGCTCAGCCTTTGAAGGGGTTAGTTCAAATTCCAAACTACTTAAGTTCAAATCAATAGTATTTTCCTTGAAAGTTCTCAATATTCTTGTAATGACTGTATCCTACTATCATATGAAATTACATGTCCAGTGATTTGTGAAATACCTAGGCTGTGTGTGAAATGATCTTTCTTCCTCTCTCTCTGAACGTGTCCATGTGTCTGTCTGTCTTAAATTCTCCACTGTTCCTGTGTAGATTGTAGAAGACTCCAGCTTTTAAATGGCATAAGCAATGTTGGAAAACCATCACCATCTTTTAGAAACTCAAGTTCATGATTTAATGTAAAGTTTGAGAAGAAAACACTCCATCAAAAAAAAGAAAGTGATTTTTAATCATAACATTCAAGTGTGTCATTTAATCTCTGACATTAATAGTGATCATATAATTACGTTTATCTTGTGAAGAGATCTAAAATTGTTTTCTTTTTTTAATTTGTTTCAGAGGTAGAGTTTAGTGAGTCATCAGTTGCATATAATACCCAGGGTCCTTAATGCCCATCACCCAGTTACCTCATCCCCCACCCCCCGGAGATTTAAAATTCAATAGGATTCTCTTCTTCATATCATTAAAAAAGAAAAGAATCATAGATTTTTTTGAAATTAGAGGGCATAAAGTTTTAGTCAAGCAAGATGAATGAGCTCGAAGATCTGCTGTACAACATTGTACCCATAGTCAACAATAATATATTGTGCACTTAAAAATTTGTTAAGACGGTAGCTCTCGTGTTATGTTCCTCATACAATAAAAAGCATTAGAAAATGTAAGACCATAGATAACAGGCAGATTTATTATATAATAGTTCATCTTACAAAAAGATGGAGGAAGAAAGATCACATAATTTGTTCAGAGTAATAATTCAGTTCATGTGTATTCATAGTAAATTAATAACCCCATGATTTTAAAATAATAATTTCATAGGAGATGTTCATTCAGGACATTTCAAGAACTGTATCAAAACTGCCCACTCCACCATAAATGACGTAACTAAAATTGCAAAGTTGAACAAAGAAGAAAGTCAGTATTCACTAAAGATACTCATTAGGTGTAATTAACTCAATTCTGTGTAAACTTTCAGATATACAACAACTTATGTATGATCATACAGGATTTGGCCTTCCCATGAGGAAGTTTGAATACCACAACACTTTCCATTATATTATCTCCCATCTGCAATGCACCATATGTACCCTTAGCCAACGTGAGTTAATTACTATCTCGTCTCATCCACAGAGTGAGTTAGCTTTGATTTTATGAGTTTTGGGGTCTAGCTAAGTTAGTTAATTTATTGTGTATTTGTACATTAAGAAGCATTTCTTTTTCTAAGTTAAAATAAATATGAACCTTATTTGACTTTTCAAGTTTTAGAATTTCTACATAATGCTGACAGAAGACAGAATAGAGTTTCACTACACTTTGTATTATCTGCATGGTCTGAACCCTTCATATCATCCAGACACTTGAGAAATATTATAGTATAGGAAATTCATATACCATCCAATAAATAGTGGGGAAGGGGAAAAAATAGCAAAAGTGTTCACTTCTTCTGATCTTGTGCTTTGCCCATGCAGACACAGATCAATTTTTCTCCTCTAAGGCTGTATCTCCAGTTGAGACGTTCACTTCTAAATTAAAAATTTGCCTTAAAAGCCATAGATTGGCAGATGCCAAAAAGTAAAAACCATCTTTCAATAGGGACACAGGTGAGGAAGGGCCCATCTATATTAGCACTGGTTCTTATGAATTCTACATATTTAACGTAGTATTCATCTTTCTATTTTGGCACTGGCAAAATTTGAACAAATTCATCTAATTTGAGAGTAATACTTCCACTTTAAACATTCCTATTTCATGAGTGTGAGGAGTAGAATAGAGACAAACAGGGGGGTATATAAAAGAGCAGGTCAATTATAGTCCCAGAGTCAAGTAAAGTCCACGAAACAAGTGTTTTGAATCCAAAACTTCAATTTAAAAACACTTGCCTCTTGTTGAGCATCATAGAAGAATGCATGCTGATTCTTCCACTATAATTTTCTATACAAACAACTTTTATGTTAAGAACCTGCTCTAAGTCAAGTTGAAAATTTCTAACTAGGACACGAGGCCATGCTACTTAAAAATTATACTAGTATTGTCTTATCTGTTTTATGCTATGTTTAATACAAAATAGGAATTCACCTACCGCAGAATGATTCATCTGATTGGTCAGGACAGTCATATCTAAAATCACATGTCTGGATTTTTTCAACACAGTGACCATCAGACTTGCAAACAAATTCATCGTCTATACAGTTGTGTGGGGGTAATGTTACTGGAGCTGACATTTCCGGTGGAGTTGGGAGGTCCACTGGCAAAGTACCTTGATAAGAGATAACATACAGGCATAATTCAGTAATTTTCCACTTAAGATTTTACACAATAAGCTTTTCTTAGTATGTTTCACATTGAATATTATAAAGAATATTTGGCAGTCTTTGGTAATATGCTGAATTTTATGTAAGCATATAAGTTGGAGTCCTCGGTCTTAGCAACAACAAATAACTGGATATAAATAGATGAAGGTGCAGATAGAAATTACTGAAAAACTGTTCAGAACTCACTGAATAAATGGGAGGCTCAAGGACAGGGCTAGGATCACTGGGAATCAAGGGAGTCCCAGATACCGGCATTAGGAATCAGAGTTAAGGTCTGGTTAAACCTTCTAGTCCACTAGGGAAATAAACTTTGCTCTTCCATTGTAACAATTAATCCAGCAACTCCTCATCCTTGTTTCACCAGCCCTCACATATTCAAGGTTGCAAGACAGAGATTCATCTGGAAGTATTTATATAATTAAGATAATAATTTCTGAAATTACAGAGCTTAGAAGAAATTTATAGAAGCTAATTTATACAGTAAGTTATTCAAGCAACATTTATTAATAACACCCCGTGTCATGGACATGGTAGGTACAACAGATTGAAAGCCAAATATACCATCACTGCTGTAAAATAATTCACTGAGTAGTGGATAAGGCACTCAGGTAAATCTTTCATTACAGTTCCATAGGATACATTTATGAGAAAGAGTATAACACCATGGAGGCAAGAATGACACCTATCCTTTCACTCCTGCATTCAGAGCATAATTCACAGACCATGGTACATGGTGAGCACACTATCATCACTTAGAAATGACTGAATAGACAGATGGAAAGACGGATGGATGGATGGATGGATGGATGGATGAATGGATGGATGGATGGATGGATGGATGGATGGATGGATGGATGGATGGATGGGTGAGTGAATGAACAGATGGACAACTGGAAGACTGTACAGCATATGGAGAACACATGAAAAGCATACATTAGATGGGAGGCGGGGAATACTTCCTGGAAAAGTAATGTCTTCAGCTTTTAGCTTTATTTTTTTAAAAGATTTTATTTATTTATATGAGGGAGAAAGAGAGAGAGTGTATGCACAAGCATGGGGAGGGGCAGAAGGAGCGGGAGAAGCAGAGTCCCTGATGAGCACAGAGCCCCACAAAGGGCTCTATCCCCGGACCCTGAGATCATGACCTGGGCCAAAGTCAGATGCTTAATCAACTGAGCCACCCAGACATCCCAAGTTTTTAGCTTTAAAAGATGAGTTGCTGGCGAGATGAAAATGGGTATAAGGTCCTTTTGGGCAATGAGCAAAGATTTGTGTGAAGGCAGAGAAATACACTGGCCCATTGTTTTTGGAATGCTGTGAGAATTTGGCATAGAGAACATCTTGTGACAGAGTAAGAATGTGTGTGATAAAGTCACTAGATGTGGAACTGGTTGGGAGACAATTAGCACATCATAAAGAGCTAAGTGGGACCAATTTAGGAGTTTGAAATAAATATAAAAAGCGGTGGAGAAATGCCAAAGTATACAATTTCCACTTTAAGAAATACTTTTCTGGCATTAGTGTGAAGAATGATTTGCAGGTGGTTCTGGCATGGAAGAGAACAGCTAAGCTTTTATTTTAATTCCAGGCAACTAATAAACCAAAACAAGAGAGTGTGGAGGAAAGAGCAGAGACCTGAGCAATATTAAACATCCAATATCTAGAGGACTGGGGATTTAGGTGCTATTGGGAATTTGAGGAAAGTCCAATAAGTACTACCTTGTTTCTCAGCTCAAGTTTTGAAGTAATTAAGAGCTAAGACTAAAGCATATAGGAGATAAATCAAAATATCAACATTTTATGGATGAAGTTGACAATGATCTACATCTCTAGACAAATGGTCTTTTAAAGCATAAAACTCAGAAAGAAACAGCCTCTCTAAGTTATAATCTATGCTGGAAACTTCCAGCTCTCCTTGTATGGAAGCCTCCCATTGTGAACTACAGCAAGAAGTTAAGCAGATCTCCTGCTTCCTTCAGCAAACTAGCTCAAAAAAAAAAAAAAAAAAAAAAAAAGAAAGAAAGAAAGAAAGAAAGAAAGAAAGAAAGAAACTAAGAGAACAGGTATGCATGCTCAGGCCCTCCTTGCAAACTCAGCAATCGTCGTTACTTTTCCACAGTTGACATTAGGGTTCACTAGTGGGTTTTACTCACTATGGGTTTTAACAAATGTACAATGATGCTTCCACCATTAGAGTGTCATACAGAGTGGTTTCACTGCACTAAAAATCCTTCATGCTCTGCCTTGCCATCCCCCTTTGCCTGAGTCCCTGGCAACCGTGGATCATTTTACTGTCTATAGTGTTCCCTTTCACAGAGTGTCATATAGTTGGAATCATATAATATGTTACCTTTTCAGATCAGCTTCTTCCCCTTAATGATACACATTTAAGTTTACACCAGGTCATTTCATGGCTTGACAGTTCATTTCTTTCCAGCACTGAATAGTATTCACTGCTTTAGGGCATTCAATTAAATGAATACTCAGTTAAATATTTATTGTATGAATAGTCTGTATCTCTTCTCAAGCAGGCCAGGACCTTAATATACCTTCCTTACTATAAAATATTAAAGTGTGCTATAATACACATTGCTGTACATTTCTCTTTGAACATTTCTTTGTGAACACATGCCAACGTATTTCCAAGACAAAGCATCTTGAAATGAAATTGCAGTTATAGGGTATGTGATCAGTCAACTTAAGTAGTTGTTTTCAAAAGTGGTTTTACCCATTTCCACTCAGAAATGTGTGCATTTCTCATATTCTCAGAATCCAGCTAACACTTGGCATTATCCAATGTAAGAAATATTTGCCAGTATCATGGGTCTGAAATAATTCCTTTGTATTTTAACTTGTATTTCCCTAATTATTGAGAACTTTTTTAATTTTAGGGGCTACTCAGGTACCTTACTCTAGCTTTTGACTAACTGTTCAGATTCCCTGTTCTTTTTTCCTATTGAATTCTTTGTTTTTTTCTTATTAATTTATGGTTTATTTCCCATATACTCTATACTAATCCTCTGTCATTTACCTCGGTGACAAATATGTTCTACTAATCTATGATAGGTCTTTTCATTTTGTATGGTGTCTTTCAAAATAAAAATTTCTAATTTAATGCCTTTCAATTTATCAGTTATTTAGAGTTGGTGGTTTAAAGCTGCAATGGAAAAAAAATTCATTCCTGATTTAATATTATCAATATTTTTTTCTATAATTTTCACACAATTTTGATAGTTTTACTCTTCACATTTAGGTCTTTGTTATCTGTTGTCTGTGATAAGAATCTAAATTCAATTTTCTTTGTATGAATGTCTGATTTTCGATCTACTAATATATTGGGCAAATTTTTCTCACTTATTCCATATTTGATTATGAAATGTATTACTCATATATAAGAATGGATAGAAAACATATGCCTGGTTTAAACAGTAATGAAAAGAATAGCCATAAATCTACCATCCAGCTTATGAAATTAAAATTCACAGCTTTGAACCCTCCACTGTTTCCCTGCTGATCACATATCAGGTTAGCAGTACGCTGATCTTGTGTTTTTCATTCCTGTTTTCGTTTGCTTTTTTTTGAAAGATTTATTTATTTTTCAGAGATAGAGAGCACACATGGCGGGGGGGAGGGTGTCAGTGTGGGAAGCAGAAGTAGAGAGACAAGCAGACTCCACACTGAGCATGGAGCCCAAAATGAGGCTCAGTCTCACAACCCTGAGATCATGACCTGAGCCAAAATCAAGAGCTGGATGTTTAGCTGACTGAGTGACCCAGGCACCTCTGTTTTCATTTGCTTTTATCATTTTCCTCATTTGCATATATGCCAGATAACCTTCTAAGTGCCTATTAGTTCATTATTTGATTAAATGAGTTCACGTGAACTTCTTAGAACAGTGACTATGCAGATGGAATACCACATAGGTCCTTTTTAAGTAAATAAACCATTTAAATTTGAAATTGGATGGACTCATTCTCTATGTAACTTTCGGCAACTTGATTTATTTCCTCAGCAATGTGCATTCACCCATCCATGTTAATTATGCTCTTGCAGTTCACTTATTTTGACTGCTGTATAAGATTTAACTATGTGATCATATATATTATTTAGCCATTCTATCATCAGTGGGTTGTTTTTTTTTTTTTTTAGCTGATTCTGTTTGAGGTTTTATTTCATCCATTTCCCCTGATGTTTCTAGGAGTGGAATTGCTTAGTCAGAGAGAATGGAGAACTGTATGTCAACTTTACAAGAAAAAGCTAAACTGTTTTCCAAGGTCATTGCATCAATTTCCATACCTCCCAGCAGTGTATAAATATTCTGATTGTGTTGTACACACATTATCCACTGGCGTATGTAGATTTACCCATGTGTTTGCCACTTTCTCTGCTGTCTATTCCCTTGTGTATCTCAGCCCTTGTTGAGCTCATTTTATCTTTGATGCTCACATTTACATAGATTATTTGATAAGAGTCTGCTGCAGTAGTCTTTTGTGTATTTGCAGATATTATCCTCTGAATGCCTTTTCTCACCCTCATTCCTGAGGTTTTTTTTGCTCTAGGCTAACAGTTATTATTTCTCCAGAACTTTTAAATTATATTCAACTGTCTTCTGACTCTCATGCTTGTTGTTGTAAAGTCCGTCGTGAGTCTAATTGCGGTCTTTTTGTAATTGTATTTTAATCTCTGGCTATTTTTAACATAATCTCTTTTCTTTGATGTTTTTATAATTCATTTCCCTGGACTTATTCTTACTATAATATTTGTATGAGGTTCACTACACCTCTAAATCTATGCCTTACATTAATTTTAAGCCAGTATAGTCTTTCAAAATGACTTCTCCATTTTCTTTATTCTCTTTCTGGAACTCCAACAGCTTTTATAATCAATCCTTCAAGTTGAGTCTACCCCTCCATTTTCCCCCTCTGTATCTCTATATATATTGCTC